ATTCCCTGGCGATAGCTGGCGTGACGGGTGGGCCGCATTCTCAGACGGCGCTGGCGCGAATCGTTGTGTGACCCAGGGTGGGCTGGCGAGGGGCTGGGGCTGGTCAGGGGCGTGATCGCGAATTATACAACATTGGTTCGTGAGATTGACACTGTATCTGCAAGTGTAGGAATCGTGGGGGAGGTGGGGATTGGTAGACATCTCGTCCTTCAAAAACTCACTTGGCCAAGGGTGAATTATGTACCGGTGTAGTGGGTCTTCACCTTCTCGGTTCATGATCGTTTATGTCATGAAAACGATTGTTCATACATCTTCGAAAAATCATTCGTGGTTGGTTTCGGCGTTCGAGCAGTCTCTCTCCATTTCTGCATATGTTCTACCTTTGCCTCGCGTATTCCGTTTCCAACTCAAAATGTTTTCAACCTCTCTCCTTCATCGATTTTTCCGACCTTGCATTTTGCCCTTGATCTTCATGACGCCAAATCCAAGTAGATAATGTGGATATGACGGTATCGTCTCCCACTGGCTAAGATTTTTTTGATTTGAGTATCCAAGATTTTCTCAACAGCCGAATTGGTAATGTACAGCTCGTCCACGTCGTCTCGCAAGCCTTCCACCTCGACCTCTAACTCAACCAACATTTCTTGCATACAGTTGATCGCATGGTTGTGTCTGCTGCATCGTTCTTGGCTTCCTGAATGATGTCATCCATGCTGCCTCAGTTTTGATATTTTTTGCTGTCAAGCGTACTTACCCCGAAGCTGCTCGATGCCGCGTTTACGATATTTGACCCATTTTACACCTCACCCATGAGTACATCATTTAGTTTCACTCTTTGCGTTTTTGGGTGGACCCCGTTTTAGTATCATGTTGCTGCCCCTGTGAAGACACCGTTCCTGCCCTGTCCGGCGCCGCGAGCGTAGAAGGGATCGTGCTCGCATATGGGGAAAACAACGTGTGTTAATGAGATGAGAGGGTCCCTGGCCCCTCGAGCCGAAATGTCTTGAGACCTCACTGGGAACCTTTTGGAAGGGCCCAAAGGGCTAGTTGCAAACTCGACCCGCCGTTCACCCATCTGCAAGCAGAAGGGGGCGGCGGGTCTAGTGGCCTCCAGCCCCATCCTGCCACTGTGTCTGGGTCGCTGACCAGAGGTCTCTCTAGGCCGTCCGGCGGGTCCCTGGCCCTCACGACCCCACGGCCCCACTACGCCACCCTCGGCCTGGCCCCTCAGCCCCCCATAGCAAGAAGAAGGCGGAAGGAGTAGGAGGAGGAGGAAGATGAGAAGGACGGGGGGGACCATGTTCTTTTAGATGCAGCGACACTTGCTCGCCCCGAGCCAGCCGTCACTTCTAGGAAGGCAAACAGATTTGTCCGAGCGGGGCCCCTCGCTACGACTTGTAGGATTACTTCTTGACGGTCCACAGCATGACGGCTCCACGGGCTGGCGGACTTACGCCACTTCGGATGTGACGATCAAAACTCATTGCGAGGACGAACTGTGAGAATCCACCGTCGATCACATGTGCGACTGACGAAGACGCGATTTTAGTTTTCATAGTCTGATTGCTTGACATGCGGGAGGCAGGTGGCCTCTGCAGTGCATCACGCCAGATAAACGGGCAGAGTTTTGCAGCCAATATCCATACAGTCATCATTTTCTCCCTTTCGGTTTGGTGTGCAAGTGAGAAAAAAAGAGAGTTCGTTGGCAAGACCTGCCACTGCTACCATTTGTCGCGCTACCACCAGCGTTCCCACCATTGCTGATGCTACTGCCAGTGCAGATGGGGGTGGGGCGAGTCGAAATTGACAACAGTTGACGCTTCGCGTATCCCTACAAGCTGGTTTAGCCTTCTTGTTCAACCACTTCAGGTTGCCACTGTTGGCATGCGACACAGGAACGCTGGACTGCTCTCAGCCCCGCGCTATGCCGTGCTCTGCTCGGTGGCACGTTTACCTCTGGCGCCTGGCGCGACAAGGCACAATTCGTTTGCCTTCCTGGTGGTCTCGCCCCTGGGATGGTTGCACTTCAGCCGCCTGGCGCACCTGGCACCCCTTGCAGCTCTGCCTTTAGTCCCCAGCGTCGCCCGGCGTCTCTCGGCGGCAGCTCTGGCGGCCGTTAGTTCGCGCGCTAGGTAATTAGGTTTCGCTCGTAGCCCGGGGTGACTTCGGACGCCGCCTGCGCTTTCGCTTGCGGCCGCGACAAAAAAATCGTTACAAGTGTGTGACCCCCAGGCGAGTTGCGTTGATCAGGGAAGCGTAGGAACATGCAGTGGAACAAGGAGGGAGCAGCTGTTACATCGAATCTCGGGATCAGCTTGGGCAGACCAGGATTCAATTGCAAAAGCCGTCATGAATCTTTGGGCCTGGGAGCCACTTAGAGACTTTTTGTCCCATTTCGGGGTGCAGTGCTTCAAAGGCCCCTCTTGGGGCCTTTTTGGGGCCTACTGGGCCCTTGCCACCTTGCCTTGACCGTGGCCTTTCGGATGCTTTTGGGGTCTCTCAAGGATGGTTGTTTCGGTGGCCTCCTGTGAGCCTCTTGGGGAGTCTCGAAGCCTCTTGGAGGTCTCTGGGGGGCTTATTGGGGTCTCTTGTAGACCTAATGGGGGCCTTGGATCCATCTTGGAGGGAAGGCTTCCAGCGGTCAGGTGTTGGCGCGGGGGCCGTGCAGGAACGATCCTGGCGGCCTCTTGGGCCGCCTTGGATGCGCTGGCGATCAAATCGGCGATATTGTTAACATCATTCAAACGTATTGTTTGCTGCTTGACGACTTGGGTCCCTTGGATTGGGCCCGAGGATGTCCGCGACGGCTCAGGAGACCCTCGAGACGGCCCGTAGGGCTTTGATCACGCCCGAGGTTCGGATTCCGAACTGCGCTACATATCAGCTCCAGGTCTACGGTGGGGGGAGGCTTCCACCGGCCCCCCCTGGGCCCTCACCTTGGCGGTGTTGGGATCAAAAGGAAGGGGCTTACCTTCGACTTGATTGCGACACTGCTCGATCTCCCATGGTCTAACGTGCCTTGCCTGAGCGGGGCCCAGCGTGGCAGCAAGGGAAAATGGAGAATATCTTCACGTTCCCGGGTTGGGAGGCTGTCATCCCGTCACGCACGCGGACATGGTCGGCACATTTTCATGTTTCCCGACGTTGCATTTGTTCTTTTGTTTCTGACCTGGTTGCGTAGCTGGGTTGACGTTTCAACCCAGCTACGCAAACAGTTGTTATTCGATGTTGTTGTTGTTGTTGTTGTCGTTGAATTTCACTTCTGAAGAATAATTATTGTTGATCCCCCCCCACCGGTGCATACTGTTTTTTCTGAATCAAAGTGTGGCCCTCGACGCTCGCACCCTCTCTTTTGACAGGGAAAGTCTTGATGCTCAAACTGGGCCCCTGGCCCTCGGGTTACAACAACAACGGCTGTCGCCTGAGACTTCCTCACAATTTAGCCAGGACACTCGCTCCCGCCCGAGATTTCTCGCATTTTATTCAGAAATCGCGCTCTCGCTTGTGACTTCCTTCTATTCAGGAATTGCTCTCCCGGCGTTCTGTAGTCGCGCTCTCGCTGGAATCTTGCTTGCAATTTACTGATGGATAGCGCCCTTGCGTTGGAATTTCTTGCAATTTGCTCAAGCGCCGCGCTCCCGACACCCAGGCACCCAGGAGTCGCGCCCGGTGTGGCCCCATGTGCCTGCCCTTCGTGGCCCCGCTGTCGCCGTTTGTGGCCCCCTCACTGTCCTACGTGGCCCAGTTGCTACCCTCAGTGGCCCCATCGTTGCCTTTTGTGGCCCCTGCATTATCTGCCCTTCGTGGCCCCCGCTCGTTCGCGCTTTTCGTGGCCCCATGCGCATTCCCTTCGTCTTCCCGCTATCGCCCTTCGCGGCCTACTTCGTGTCCTTCGTGGCCCTGCTGTCGTTCTCTCTCGCTCTCGCTTTCGCTCGTCGTCGCCGTCGTCGTCGTCGTCGCCGTCGTCGTCGACGTCGTCGTCGTCGTCGTCGTGGTCGGTCCCCTGTCCGTCCCTCTTGGGGTCGGGTCGACGGTCCGCGGCCGCCCCGCCGATTAGCGCTGCCGCTGGCCAGGCTGACGGTCCGCGGCCGCCCAGCCGCTTGCCAAGGCCGGGCCTGCAGGGAAAAAAGAGGTATACCCCCCAAAAGGGGTTCGATCGAAGACGAAGAGGGCGGGTATCGAGGGTTTGGGAAATACGCGTTATTGGACATTCGAGCAGATAAGGGCGAGCAGTCTTAGAATGTTTGTTTTTGTTGTTTGTTGTTGTTGTTGTTATTGTTGTTGTTGTTGTTGTTGTTGTTGTTGTTGTTGTTGTTTTTGTTGTTGTTGCTGCTGCTGTTGTTATTGTTGCTGTTTTTGCTGTTGTTGTTGCTGCTGCTGTTTGTTTGTTTGTTTGTTTGTTTGTTTGTTTGGTGGGTTGTTTGTTTGTTTGTTTGTTTGTTTGTTTGTTTGTAGGTTGTTGTTGTAGTAGTTGCTGTTGCTGTTGTTGTTGTTGTTGTTGTTGTTGTTGTTGTGTGTCGCTGTTTGTTGTTTGTTGTTGTTGTTGTTGCTGTTGTTGTTGTTGTTGTGGTTGTTGTTGTTGTCGTTGTTGTTGTTGTTGTTGTTGTTGTTGTTGTTGCTGCTGTTGTTGTTGTTGTTGTTGTTGTTGTTGTTGTTGTTGTTGTTGTTGTTGTTGTTGTTGTTTTCGTTGTTCTCTCTCTCTCTCTCTCTCCCTCAGGACGACGGGGACTTGGCATCTTTGGAGCCTCCAAGCTCCCAATCCTCATCGTTGTCGCCTGTCTGGCGTCAGGAAGGCGGAAAGGCTGTGGGGGCGGGGGGAAGGCACGGGCAGGAGAGGGCAGGGGAAGAGAGAAGGGGAAGGGTGAGGGAGGAGGGGGTTGGAGTGAAGGATGGCGGTCGGGGTTGGGGGCGGGGGGCCTGGGGGGTCGGGTGAGAAGAGCACGAGGGAGCGGGCTAGGGAGGCGGGGAAAGGCAGGCCCCCCATCCCCCGCCGCGCGGGGAGGCTGGCGAAAGAGCGGTGCCCATGGCCATGGCGGAGCCAGCGATCGCTGGGCGCAGAAATCGCGTGCGCGCCTCCTCCCCGTACCTTCGTCCCCCCCTGCCTCCTTCAGCCTTCTTGCAGTCCCCCATCTGACGCTTCTCCGGTCTTCCAGTCTTCCAGTCCTTCGCCCCCTCCTCTCCCGTTTCCCACATCCACCGTTAACTATCTGTGGTCGTCGTCGTCCTCGTCTGCCTCCGCATCAACCCTTCAGGGCTCAGTGGCCGAGCTGTCAGTCGCATGTGTCTCCCACGAAGTCCTCAGAAGGGGGTCTTGGGCGGTTTCTTCTGGAGGATCTCGTGGCGCATGTGTTTGCGTAGCATTTCTTTTGAAATAGGTCTGGGATGCCGCCCCCGCTCGCGTGGCGAGGCGATGTCTGGCAACTTCGATGGGTGGAAGTGCGGCAGCCTCACCTTTGGTTTTTCGCGGACTACTTCTGCGAGGGAACAGTTTTGAGCTCTTCGTCCACGCCGTCTCGGACGCTGTTGACGTCTTGTTCGTTTTCTCGGGTTTCTCGGAGGCGTTCTCTCTGCCCCACGAGGACCTGGTTGTCTAGCATCGCTCTGGCTTTTCTACCTCCCGCACAATCCATTATAAATATTTAAACGCCTCCTTTCCCATCCTCTCTTCCCCTCTCTCTCTCTCTCTCGCCTTGTCCCCCTCTCCTCCGCACCACCGCAGAGGAGCAAGGAACACCGATAGCGCAGAGGGCTTGGCGAACCAGCATGTTATGTTTCTGCTCCACTCTTCGATCTGAGGTCCCATCAGAGGGAAGTATTCGGCAGGAGGGAGGGGGAGTGAGGGGGGAGGGGGTCAGGGTCATGGGGAAGTAGAGTGGTTGAAGAAAAGAGCAACCTGTCCTGCGCGGATTCTCCCGCCTCTACAGGTCATCAAGCCGCCGACGCCGGAACCAGAGCCGGCGCGCGCGCCCCCCGCCGCCCGGGTGGGGCGCCTTGACCTGCCTCACATATTCTCGTGGAGCATAGACAGAGGCAGAGGGATAGGTGGATGCGCAGACCCAAGCGAATGCTCGGACGCGGGCCCAAGACGGCCCCAAGAGGGCTCCATGAGGGGAGCCGCGAACCGGAAATTCGAGCCTCCCGCCTCCACAGGGCCCCGGGAGGCCCCAAAGAGGCTCCAAGAGGCTCCAGGAGACCCCCCAGAGGCACCCAGGAGGCCCGAACGAGGCTTCAAGAGGTTCCCAAACAGCCCCGAGGAACCTTACAACGGACGGAGCGGACGAGCCGCACTTCGGACCGCCGCCGCCGCCGCCGGTCCAAGAAAACGGCCTCCTGGACGCCATGCGCGCCGTGGCCCTCCTGCGGTGGCACCTCCCGCCCCAGGCCAGCGCAGAGGCCCTCGGATCCCAGAGAGAATTCTCCGTCGTCGGCGGTGTCGCCGTCGTCGGCGTCGTCGTCGTCGACGCCGTCCCCGCCCCGGTCGCCCCTCGGGTCTTGGGCAGTCTTGGGCGGTTTGGGGGGCTGTCTGCGGACCATCTTCGGTTGCCTGGGGGCCTCTTGGAGGCCTCATGGGGGCATGTGGGGGGCCCCTTGGAGCATTCTGGATGCTTTGGGGGGCCTTCTTGGGGTCTCCTAGGGCTCTCTTTGGGGAGGAAGGCTGGAAATGTCAGGTCGGGTACCCCTGTGAGCTCTTTCTGCGAGCGGTCCTGGGGCCTTCTTGGGCTGTCTTTTGGGCCTCTAGGTCACTCCTGAACCCCACTTGAGCCGTCTTGGGGCCCTCTTCGAACTCTCTTTGGCCGTCTGGTGTGATCTTGGGGCCCTCAGGGACCCTCTTTGGTCGTCTTGGCGCGAGCTTGGAGGCCTCTGGGCGAATATTATTAAAATTTACATTTTCCGAAAGGAGTGGGGCCATTTTTGCTTCTGCGGGTCCTCTTGGGGGTCCTCTTGGATGCCTCTTGGGCCGTTTTGGGCGGTTTGGGGGGCTGTCTGCGGACCATCTTCGGCTTCCTGGGGGCCTCTTGGAGGCCTCTTGGGGGCCCCTTGGAGCATTCTGGATGCTTTGGGGAGCCTTCTTGGGGTCTCCTAGGGCTCTCTTTGGGGAGGAAGGCTGGAAATGTCAGGTCGGGTACCCCTGTGAGCCCTTTCTGGGATCGGTCCTGGAGCCTTCTTGGGCTGTTTTGGGGGCCTCTAGGTCATTCCTGAACCCCGCTTGAGCCGTCTCGGGGCCCTTTTCGAACTCTCTTCGGCAGTTTTTAGGATTTCCGCGTCCTGGGCCTCGGAGGCCGCCGCCTCCGACCCCCCGTGGGGGGACGGGGCGGCCGGGGAGGTCCACAATAGTCCAGGAGGGCCTCCAGAGGCTCCCACGACGGCCCAAGCGGGCCCCTAGTCGCCGAAAGACCGCTCCAGGACGCCCAAGGTAGGCCCAAGATGGCCCGAGAGGCCCCCCAAGGCACTCCACGACGCTTCAAGACGCCTCTCCACAGCGCTTCAAGAGGCCAAAATTTCGATTTCACAACGGTTTTCGAACGATTTTGGCCTTCCAGCCTTTTCGGCTGTCCGACGTTCCAAGACGGCTCAATAGGCCCCCAAGAGCACCCCAAGACGGCCCAAGAGGGCCCCAAGACGGTCCCACAGTCGCCCAAGACAGCCCAACAGAGCCCCAAGACAGCCCCAAGATGCGCCCAAGAGGGGGACCACGACCTCAAAATTCGACCCTCCCGCTTGAAGAGTGCCCCACGAGGCCCCAAGGAGCCCCCTAGAGGCCCCAGGAGGCCCCCAAGAGGCACCCAGGAGGCCTAAACGATGCCTAAAGAGGCCACAAAACAGCCCCGAGGATGCCCCACAACGGTCCCAAAACAATTACCGAGAAGCTGCGAAACTGCCTTCACGACGTCCTGTCCCCCTCCCTCCGAGCCCCCCTCGTCGTGATCCCCTCCCGTGTCCCTCCGTGCTAGCTTCTTTGGCTTAGAGGCGCCCGAGGCGCCAGGCAGTACCGATGCCCCTCTCCGCGTCCCCTCGCTGTTACAAAGGTGCCCGTCCTCTCCCCTCCAGCGCCAACAGTTGGTAAGCGGAGCGATGGTTAGAGATGGGGAGCCCGCGGGGCAGCAGGGCGGCGAAGAGGGAGGAGGCGGCCAAGTACTCTCTGGCATGAACGGCGATGGCGGCGGACGCGACGACCGACCGCAGGATGAACCTCCCGGAGGACAGGGGGGAGAACAGACTCGAGATATAGGCGCGGGTCCGTGGAGGGACGCAGCTGATGCTAGAGCCGCGATTTGGAACTGGTCGAACGGTCAAGCCTGGGGGAACTCACGATCATCATGGCGAGGCTGGCCAGCTACCGACACCTACGCTACCAGGACGGCCGAAGCGGGCACGACGACCGACGACCTGGGTGCGTGGGATAGTTGGAGCGCGCATGCAGGGGCCCAGACGAGTGGGTGGCAAGATTGGCAAGGCGAGAGTTGGTCCCATACGGGCTGGACATCGTCGAATCGTAGCCGAGACTTTGGGCCGCCTCCTGCATGGTTGGGTTTCGACCACCTGGATCTGTATCGACACAATCTAAATGCATGGTCCCAGAGGACCGGCTACCAGGACATCCAGCAGGCGGCGAAGGTCGTGGAGGCCTATCCCGTCGAGCTCCAGGCCAAGTTCATGGCCATCCGCTCGACCCTCGACGCCGCCGACGGGATCGCCAAGCTTCTCTCGCACCTTTCTATACTGAATGGAGAGCGCCCGGGCGACCGGGAACGAAGTGCACAGAACTTGGCCCTGTTCGATCATAGATTCGCAGAGGAGAGACCCTCGCCGACTTCGTCTTACGACGGGACGCGCAGATAGCCGAGGCTGAAGTACATGGACTGACGTTGCCGGATCCCGTCAAGGCGAGGTATTTGGAGGAAGGGGCGGCCCTGACGACTCAGAATAAGATCAACCTCCGGACGATCACGCTGGGCCAGACTGACTTCGCCTCGATCAGGTCGGCACTGCTGAAGTTGGATGTGACAGAGAAGCGAGTGTTGCCGACGCCGCCTCCTGCCCCCTACAAGGCTTTCCCCGCCGAGGTGGAGACCGTCGAGGACTCGTTCTTCGAGGGCGACGACCTCGGGGGCGAGCTCGAGATGGCGGAGGAGGAGGTGGAGGCATTTCTGACGGCTCTGGAGACCCAGGATCTGGACGAACACGAGGTGATTGACGTCCTGGCAGCGATCGTAGAGGAACGGTTTGGAAAAGAACAACGACGCACATGGAAAGAATCTCGGAAGCTTAAGATGGCGAAAAAGGTGGACCGCGCTTTCTTTGACCGTAAGAGAGCACGACCTGGATTTAAAAGGCTTCTGGGCACGGACGTCAAGAAGAGGTCGAGGTGCGCTAACTGTGGCGAGGGGGCACTGGGCGGACAGTTGTACAACTCCTTATCGTGCCAAGAGCGACCGCCTGGCTGCCGAGAAAGACAAGCCCCGATCCTCGGGCACGGGCTTTTCAGCGACGACCTTCCTGTTCGAGAACGACGGCCGCGACGGATCCCTGATCAACTTCGCGGGCCAGGCTGGCTTCACTTCCGAGGGCCGCCGCATGACCGGCTACTGGGAGAAGTTCGTGATGGAGCGCGTGAAGGTGCCAGAGGTCGTCAGCTTCCTGAGCATGAAGGACGTCCCGGGCGCGGCGGCGCTGGTGGACACCGCAGCGGCGCAGGCGCTGATCGGCAAGCCGGACCTGGAGATCCTGGCTCAGGCGCTGCAGGCTCGCGGCTACAAGGTGAAGGTGGACCTCGCCCCGGTGCGGGGAATGGCGGCTTCCGGGATCGGAGGTCGCACGACGCCGATCGGGAAGGCCTGTTTCCCGGTGACCATCGCGGGGTGCGGCGTCGTCGAGTTCCTGGTGTTGCCCCAGGCGTGCCCTCCGCTTCTTCCAGCGCGCCTGTTGGAGATGATTGGGGCCAGCATCGACCTCGAGGCAAACGTCGTGACGGTGGGCGAGGACGGCGAGAGGGTCGACCGTCCGCTGACCGTGCACCCCGCCGGCCACAGGTCCGTCGACCTCGCGCATCGCGACCCCCGGGAGTTCGCCCTGAGCGCGGGCCTGGTCGGCAAGTTCTCGATCGGCGACTTCTGCCTGCGGCAGGGCCCGGGCCTGCCCGCCCGGCCTCCCGCCAGCGCGCGAGCAAGCTGTGGCAGTAGGCGTGAAGGGGGCAGCAGCGTAGGCAGCAGATCTTGCTCATCCCCCCTCTCTCTCGTCGTCGCTCGGGTCTCGGGGGGCGGGGGTCGGCGGCCCAGCTCCAGCGTGCAGCTCCTCTCGGCTCTAGCTACGAGATCCGAACGGAGCAGCGCGCCGGCACCCGCCGCAGCTCGAGATGGTGAAGGACCCGAAGGCTGTCAAGACGGCGAAGGCGAAGGAGAAGCCCAAGACGGGTCGCACGGCGCTGGCCGGACTTCGCCGCAGGGCTCAGATGGTGGTCTCGGAGGGCGCCGAGGACCCCGGCCTAGACGCGCTGGACTCGTCGTGGGGGGCCGTGGGCGTGGAGCCCTCGGAGGAGGAGATCGAGAGGATGAACCAGGTGAGGGAGGCCGAGGCGCTGAGCTACCAGGAGCAGCTGTGGTTCAACGAGGGCCTGTGCGCCGTGGAGCCGGTGCACCTGCGTTGGAGGCGCTTCGCGCTGAAGGCTCTCTGGCTGAGCCGGGCATGCATCGGGATGATGGGCGCGATGACGGAGTGCCCGGCGGCCCAGGAGAAGATGTCCAAGGAGGACTGTGTGCGCCCGCCCTGGGCCCGAGTCTCCACGGGGAACCAGCGCGCCGACTCGCGCCTGAGCTACCGCAAGAAGACCGAGGAGGAGAAGGCGGAGATCGCGGCTCGCAAGGCGACGGAGCGCCAGCGCACCGCGCTCAACATGGCGGCCAAGAAGCTCGCGCAGGACCAATTGCAGGCGCTGATCGAGGAGCACGACAGCATGGGC